GCGGGATTCCCAGCTGGGATTGGTGGAGCGGCCCTGGAGAGGCGGGGCCGGCCCCCCCCACCCGTGCGGGGAAAGAGGGGGGCGTGGACGGCGACTAGGGCAAGCCGGGCGCGCATCTGTTATGTTGCAGCCGCAGAAGGTGGCGGGGAAGGGTTCCCGGAGCGCTCGAACTTAAGCAAGCAAGCAAGCGCGCACACATACACACGGACGCGCGCGTCACGAGTTGGGTAAAGGGGCTCGCTCTCTCTCCCCCCACCCCCCAACATCCCCAGGATCCGGGTAGAGCCTTCCTTGGACTGTGCGCTCAAGATCTCCACAGAGGATCGGCGATCGGTGATCCAGCTCCCCTGAACGCGCCTTCCCAAGTAGAGGGGGTCCGGTTTGGTGGAGATTTCTCCCGAAGGCGAAGCTCGCGTGGGATCTTGCCAGGCCGGACAGCCTTTCCTTCATCCAGGTAAAAAAAACTCGTGTGAACGCGGAGGATGCGTGTTTCTTGTTGCCTCTGGTCCCTTACGCCCCCATTGTGGGTTGCTTCGCTTCGACTGAAGGCGCGCGATCGCTTTGCTTCAGAGCAGACCTTGAAGACCATTCGTTGCGGTTAAAACTCTAGAAGTTTTTCTCCTACCTGTTTCTCTAATCCGGTGTATCCAGAGGAGACATCTGGCTGCTCTAGAATGTAGCAGAATTATGGATCTTTTGACATCATTCATCACTGTCAGTCATTTAGGTGCTTTAAATTGCGAGGACGTGTTCACTCCCTAAACCAGTCTTACTGGAGTTACTGCAAACAGGTTTAAGTGTAAAGGTTGTGACTGAAGGCTGGCAACTGTAGACATGGGTAGGGTTGAATTCTTAGTGACATGTGGATTGCCACACTGCATAGCTTAGATTTCTTTGTATTTTCTGCACAACAGAGCCTTTATCAGTTCCTGAGTAGTATAAAATGCTAGGTATATGTTTTACTCCGGCTAAGGCTGTCTTTCTGGAGAGTTTGGTTTAAAAAAGGGAAATAATTCCATCCTGCCTATTCCCTGGGTTGATTTTCAGACCCAGTAATCAAAGTGGTCTGGAGATGAATTAGGTTGCATCTTAAGAACCCAGCCAGAGTGGAACAACTCGAAACTAAAGATTGCTGGGAATCGGAGCTGATAGCACATGTGAGTCACTGGGTGAAATCACCGTGTCTTCTTTACAGGTGATTTTGGAAACAGCTGGCAGGATCCCTTTTTCTGAGTCAGGAGGCTTGAAATGCACTTACTGAGTGTTTTAGATGTTCATCCGTGCGGAACCAGACAGTAGGAGACTTGCAACCTGATTCCTCCCCCCCAACCATGACCTCTCATTCTGTTGATTTTACATCCAAGTAAATGTGCTTAGGGTTGTAACCTGAATCATTATAAACAACTAAATGCACTTGAGCTCTTAAAAGTCTTGCATCCAAGCAAATGTACTTAGGGTTGTAACCTGAATCACTAAATGCACTTGAGCTCTTAAAAGTCTTGTTTGTTGTTGTAAGGTTTGCTTGACAGCAGGACTGGGCAAGTCTGTGATGAGAAAAATCTATTAGTACTAATTAGCTGTGACAGCCAGTTACTAGAGCTTTCATACACAGAGGCTATATACCTCTTAATGAGGGATGCATACAAAGAGAAGGGCTGTTTTGTCCACACTCTGCTTGAACAGGCTCTGGGAGTATTTGAGGGGCATCTTTTGGAAACAGGGTCTTAGATAGTGGTCTGATTTCGCATGGCTGCTCTTGAATGGTGTTCTTACATCATTGTTCTTATGTGCCGTCAAATCACCTCCGACTTATGGCAACCCTATGAAAGAATGATCTCCAAAATGTTTACAAAAAGGGCAATGGTCCTGTCCAGCTCTTGTAAACTCAAGCCTTTGGCTTCACAAAAAGGACAATGGTCCTGTCCAGCTCTTTTAAACTCAAACCTTTGGCTTCCTTTAAGGAGCCAGTCCTCCTCCTACTTGGTTGTCTTCTTTTCCTGCTGCCTTCAGTCATTCCCAGCATGATTGTCTTTTCCAGAGAATGCTGCGGGTCTTCTGATGTTCTCAAAGTATGACAGCCTCAGTTTCATCATTTTTCTTTCCAGAAAAAACAATGGTCCTGTCCAGCTCTTTTAAACTCAAACCTTTGGCTTCCTTTAAGGAGCCAGTCCTCCTCCTACTTGGTTGTCTTCTTTTCCTGCTGCCTTCAGTCATTCCCAGCATGATTGTCTTTTCCAGAGAATGCTGCGGGTCTTCTGATGTTCTCAAAGTATGACAGCCTCAGTTTCATCATTTTTCTTTCCAGAAAAAGTTCAGGCTTGATTTGTTCTAGGATCTATTTGTTTGTCTTTATGGCAGTCCAGGGTATCTGCTAAGACCTACTCCAGCACTATTTCCTTACACACAGTCTGCTTAGAATAATCAGTGAACTTAGGATTCTTTTGGAAATTGTTGCTTCAGTTATCTTACCTAGGATTCTTCAGTAGTACACATGAGTGATTTTAGACAATCAAATGAATGCACACTAGTTGTGTTTTTTTTTTTTTTTGCTCTTGTCTCTTCAGGCTGTCTTGACTTGACAAGATACCTCAACAAGGAATTTTCAGGCTCTCAGTGAGATTTCCCACCTTTGTAAGAGGAGTACTGCTCCCCCCCCAATTAATTTGCACAAATTGTCTGCACAAAACTAGTATCCTCTTCCTTTGACAAGCAAAGCACTTATAAAGAACAGTCACAGAATAGTCTAAATCCTCGAGCGCAAGTTAAACTTGTAGAAGGAAAATAATGTCACCAGCAGAGGGGGCTCCCTCAGCTTCCATGCACATGAACACGGGGTGCCCAGCCTTCCCCAGCCGGTCTGCAGGTGAAAAGGTTGGGGACCCCTGCTGTAGATTACCTGGAAGTTGGACAAGTTGTAGGGGAGAAAGGGGAAATCTTTAATGACAGAAAATCTCCCCCTGCTGGTGACATCATCATGGCCCTTCTGCAGGTGTAACTTATGCAAGAGGATTTCAGCCAATAATTGGTTGATGGCTCAAAAAAATAAATAAATAAATGCCTGTCTGTTGCTTGAAACTCAAAAACTCCCCAAAAAATGCCTGTCTGTTGCTTGAAACTCAAAAGACTGTAAGAAAGCTACAGCTGTCATTGTTTCCCATCATTTTGTGCAGTTTTGCTTAATTTGTGCAAAAATAGTTCTCAAGATCCTTCCCTTCTTGAGAAAAAATTACCGTATTTTTCGCTCCATAAGACGCACCTATTCCCTTCTTGAGAAAAAATTACTTTTGTTGGAAAGTTGAGAAAATACCTCATTATTTTGCAAGAGAAGAGGGGTAATTTTCTGTTTCCTGTTTTTGGTATGGAGGATGAAACCAGTGAGGACATCTCTGTACACTGAGGTTTTATTCTTTCTCTTACAAATGTCTCTGAATGAGATACTGCGGAAAGTTGAGAAAATTCCTCATTGTTTTGCAGGAGAAGAGGGATAATTTTCTGGTTCCTGTTTTTTGCTATGGAGGATGAAACCAGTGAGGACATCTCTGTACACTGAGGTTTTATTCTTTCTCTTACAAATGTCTCTGAATGAGATACTGCCAGTTGGAGAGAAAAAGAGATGGACTAATTTGGAAAATTTAAAACTATGTGAGTCCCTGCACTCCTGATGCACAGCTAGAGGAATTCAAAACTCTGATCACATATGACAGGGTCACTAGAGGCAAAACTAACTACAGGTAGTTTGCTATCCAACACCTTCCTTTGCTTGGTCAGTTTTGTTCTTTCTCTTACAAATGTCTCTGAGTGAAGATACTGCCACTTGGAGAGAAAAAGAGATGGGCTAATTTGGAATATTTAAAACTATGTGAATCCCTGCACTGCTGATGCACAGCTAGAGGAATTCAAAACTCTGATCACATATGACAGGGTCACTAGAGGCAAAACTAACTACAGGTAGTTTGCTATCCAACACCTTCCTTTGCTTGGTCTAAGTCTCCCAGTTTCCACTGGGTGAGAGTACTGCTCGGGGCTGTCCAAACCAAAGGTCCCTCTCTAGTGCTGAGCTGTATCAGATATGTTGCATTTGCATCTCTTTCCAACAGATTACAGTACTTACATTTGAATGAAAGAAACAAACGTGACACTGCATGTGTGTAGTTGAAGCAGAAGGTTGGGGGAGTGCAAAGATTTGGAACATTATTGTTCAGAAATGAAAGTAAAGAGATGGCAAGTTTAGATTTGTCTTGGGCTGGCTGGTGTACTTCCTGCTTCAGTGGGCTGAGCCTGTAATAATTCCCTTACCCTGATATGTGTTGGTGGATTTGTTTTGGCAATCTTCACCAACCATATCATCTTCAAGCAACTTGATCACGTGTTTGTTGCTAAGGCCTCTAAATTTAGGGAAGGAGGAGATGCAAAGCCAAGACAGATAACGGGAATTTTCTGGCATTCCCAGGAACGGAGGGAGGCAAGGATGAGCTATAACTTTGTTTTGATCACAGGATAGTGACCTGACAACCAGCTCTGAGAGATCACCGGGTGACTCGTTCCTTCCTCTCCAGAGACAGCCTGTAATGATTTATATATGGGTACATGATGCACTTCTGGGTGGGCATTGGGGGAGAAAATAAATGACTTCAAAACACTGATACAAAGCTTCTTATCTCTACAGTCCCACTTTTTAGGTGAACAGCTAGCATGGTTTAAGCCCATTAAAATCACTGTGGGCTGGGCCTTTAATTGCACATATTGTTCTGTGGGAAAGTTTTGGGTTGTCTTGCAAAGAAATGAATTAGCACAGGGATAAGATATGACTTCATTGGGAAAGTTTAGGGTTGTCTTGCAAAGGAATGGATTAGCACAGGGATAAGATATGACTCCACGGAGACTGCTTTCCTAAAATATCGTATAGCGGAGAAGGGCCACCCGGAACTTCCGAAGCCCAAATAAAGCCCCTCAGCATGTATTGCTGCACACCCATGTGTTCTCTTGCGGCAATTCTGCCATGTTTTCTGAGACCTCCAGTGTCCCTTCCCGCAAAAAGAGAGAATTTTAAAAAAATCACCCATAGGAGGGTGAAGGGGAAAGAGTATCCAGAATATCAATCTGTTTGTGCTAGACAAATCTTTGCATTCGGCTGGTGTGAAAGACATAGCCATTGACCGGAGCGCCTTTTGTAAAGAGGTAAAAAAAAAACACCCCAACATCTTGTGAGGTGTAACAATTTCTGTGGGTTTGGGTAGGGTATGGAGAGACTTGAGTTTACATGTTGAATGGTCTTACTTCAATCCCTAATCTACCCAAATCAAGCTAACCAACTACTCTCATAAATAAGGTATACATACGCTAAACATAAAAGGTGTTTTCTTATGAGGACCACAGAGTTTGACGAAGCAGCAAACTTTGAGTAAGGTTGTACCCTTAATCTAGGCGGAAAAGGCAGCTGGTTTCTTCGGCTGT